TTTATAGGCATATTGAAATTCCCAATTTGCCCCTAAATTGTCAATGAACCCCAAACTGCTCCTCGATTAACATAAATGCTTCAATACAAACCGCTGTTTGGTTTAACTAAGAATCGAACTTTTAATAAATTTTGCTAAAATTTAATGAAACATGTGATTGAAATGTTTTAAATCATATAAAATGTTTGTTTATAATTAATTATTGGGGATAATTGTAGCAAAAATCCTAAACAATTTGAACACTAGCAGACTTTCCTCAAATCTTTGATTTGTTGAAACCGTCACCCATAATACTTCCAAACGTTGCAAGTGAGGTCCTGTTTGATAGTTTCCATCCATAATTTCTTCAATTAATCAAAAATTTAGTTTTGAAAGCATTTTTATATTTTAAAAAGGAGCAAAAGAGTAACATTCTATTTATCATATTAAATAATTACATTTGTTAAATTAAAAAATAAAACAATCATCTTCTACCCCCACTCCACCGAACACAACCCCACCCTTAGCAACTGACTTCTGCCACCTCCACCTCAACCAACCACCTGCCATTGGCCACCACGATCCACCCATCACAATCGCTAGTGTTTATTGCCAACCTGAATTGAAGGTATTACGGTTGAATTTGATGATTGGGGCAGCGTGGAATCCTCAATTGAAGGGGGGACAAACGGGTTGCCTTGCATATGAACCGTCCCAACCAGTTCGTCCACTTAGCGTCCAAATTCCTGATAACCGATGGTTGGAATAGGCACGTCTTGACGAGAGGATGCCAGAACAGGTGGTCTGAGATCATGGGGACCACCACAATCGTTGGAAAATGAGTTTGTCGACCGCGAGTTTGCTGTCTCAAAAAAACTGTAAATTTTGATTTTCTTTGTTGTTTGTTGTTATGAGAACACGTATGGATGCGTCTTGATGAGCTCGAGTGACGTGAGGTGCAATGAACATGGGCATCCATGGATTTGGTCAAATTTGTAAGAAAATCGTGCGTGAGAGGCAATTTTTGAACAGAAATTGGTTCGATTTTGATTTGATTTGGGTTGTTATTTGTGTAGAGACGTTAGTGGTTGATGAGGAGATGGTGGTGGTGCAAAAATACAGAGGCCACAATGGCCGGAAGTTGGGTTCCTTGGTTGGTGGCTGAGGGTTTGAGGTGGAGGTGGGGTAGAAGATGATTGTTTTCTTTTGTTTTCTTTTTTACTTTTTAATTGAATAAATGTAATTATGTAATGTGATAAATAGAAAGTTTTTATTTTGCCCCTTTTTAAATTATTAAAAATGTGGTCAAAATTAAATTTTTGGTCAACTGACTAAATTGTGGATGTAAATCATCCAAAAGTGCCTCACTTGCAACGTTTGAAAAGGTTAGGAGCGACGACTGTAACAAATCAAATGTTTGGAAAAAAGTCTGCTAATGTTTCAAATATTTGAGGTTTTTGCTATAATTATCCCCTAATTATTGAAAACTCCTCCAGGGTGGGAGTCAATTCAAATAATTGAGCTACTATTTTCTACTTAAGAAAATATTTATTAAATTTTGATTTCTGTGTAACATGAAATTCATGAGTTGTTGGGCAAATATTAAGTATGCGTCCTAAAATGTAAGTGGCTAAGAATTATCACGGATTTTCTTAGTCCCGTTTGGTAGGGATTAAAAGTATCCCACAA